TAGGACCATAACAAAAGAAATATATGTCCAACTAAATATTTAGAAAAAAAAAAATGTGGATATCAAATTTTGTCTACTATTTAGAAAATTAAGTTGTATGTGACGTTGGCAGATGTGTGAACATGACGTGGACATAGTATGATATTAATAAAATCTATTTATATTAATCATCATACATTATTTCTAATATATTACATAAAACATATTAATTAATATTTGACTTTCTAATATATTACATAAAACATATTAATTAATATGGTCAAATAGAAAGATAATACAAAATCTAATACATTAAGAATTATTGTATTAATTTTAATATGACTATTATTATCTTTATTATATAATTAATGTATCTTTCATGCAAAAAATAAATAAATAAATAAATTACTTTTTATTTTAAAAAATAAATTTAAAATATCTTGAATTAACATATGGCCACTAAGCAATTACCTCGATCACATTCAAAAATATGGCCACTAATAAGCAATTACCTTAGATCACTTAGTCAAACCAAATATGAAACTACAAAAAAACACTTCAATTCCAACGAAAAATTCCAACGGCAAAAATTTCCATTGGAAAATCCAATGAATATTCCAACAAACTTAATTTTATGTTGGAATAATTGTTGGATGGTTGAGGAATTCCAACGGATTTTTTCCGTTGGAATAGTTGTAGGAATTTATTTTTATAGGATTTTCCGTTGGATTTTAGCTATTCCAACGGCCGTTTTCCCACAAATTTTTATACGTAGGAATATCCGTTGGAATAGCTATTCCAACGGAAAATATAAAGAATTCCAACGAAAAATTTTCGTTGGAATGTAAGAGTTTTTTTTTAGTGTGAGTAACTTCGCAATCTCTTAGATCGTCTAGACAGACACTTTCTAGTCTGCCTAGACTCTAATTAAACGTCTGAACCTAACCGTTTAGGCAAAATTGTGATGCTTATTATTATACACTTGTATGATAATTTAGTACATAACTTAGATTGAAGAATATATATTTATATATAATTCTTGTAAATATAACATCTTTATGAGGCAGCTAAAGTTCTCAAAATTCATCCTGAAAAGTCTTTTGTACTTATTTCCTGTATTTTGTAAAACAATTATGGGTCATAACTGTTATTTTTTAATTTAATCAATAAAACATTTTTATTTTTATAAAGAATAAGTTGTGACTACGAGTTTCGTGTTAATCATAAATGTTACATCAGTCAATCCTTTTCAATTGTTTTTCAAAACATCCTTAGAAATAAACCATACCATAATTCAAAGAAAATAAATAATATATCTCAACGCATCTCAAATTCTAACTTTTCCATCTTAATTCTTTAAAAGATAACCTAAATTACTATAAACCATATATAAAGTCTATCCAAGATAAGATTTGTTTGCAGATACAATGATTTTCTATTTAAACGTATTTTTTGTTGATAAAATGTCATTTCCCTTACCATGTCTTGGTTGCATATTCTCATGTGATGTCACGCTCAAATTCATTTCCACACCCCCTATACATCTATTCGTACCAAACCTCTAAAATATTGAAAAGATATTATAAAAAATAAATAAATAGTGATTACCCTTCAACTTTCAATATATCATATGGAAACATTCATGGTACGGCTTCAGACGAATTGAACAGCTCGTGAGAGCTCGAGTTAGAGCTTGATCAACTAGTCAAACCCGAATTCAAGCCTATATTTTTTAAGTTCAAGTGCTCGATGAGCCACTCGAGTCCATATTTTATTTGATTTGTGTAAATACTCCCAACTCAAGCAAACTTCTTGCCAAAGTTGAGAAAAAAATTATCTTCAAATAGTTAATTTTTTAATAAAAATTTGAGTCAAACTCGAGTGACATTCGACAAGATGAAACTCAAGCTGATCTCGACCATTCGCAATTTTTTTGTCAAACCAAGCCGACCCGAGCCTTATAAAGCTCGACTCATCGAGTTCGAGAGCGAAAAGCAATGAAAAACTCGAGTTTGGCTTGATAAAATAAAACATAATATTATTATCATATAATAGTAATTAAAACTGCAGCATGATAGTTGTGCTTGGCTCGTTTGCAGTCCTAATTATTTATGATTTTCAACAAATACAACACTTCTGAATGAACGATCTCTATATTTATAAATTGTTTCGTTGGGAGATATTTTTATGTAGGAGTATATGGTTTTAAAATGTATACTAGAACGTAAATATAGGGATAACCGAATAAACTAATATGTATGTAAACTCCTAAGTCCTAATTTAGGGATTGGGCCGTATTGAACGGGCATTTGACAACTCTATATTGCATGTGGCACAGAGGAAAGGAAAAGCTGGAGAATTTTTCACAGCATAAGAAATATTAGATGCACTTTTAAGTCATTACCTTGGCCGGTTAGCTACAGGGCGTCGAAACAAGAGTTTGTACAGCATTACAAATACTTAGGTACACATACATATAAAAATGTGTTTGTATGTGTACCTAAGTATTTGTAACCAACAAAAGAATGAATGGTCCACAAACCTAACCTACAACCTTGAACAATGTATAGTTATCATCATGCGAAAAACTTAATTATAGGTATTGTTAAATCTATTTCATCTAGCTACCTAACAAAATGTACCGAATATGCAAGTCGTAAGCCACGACGATCCACACTATATATGAGTCATAATACACTCGTGTCTCACTAACTCTTCAAATTTACGGCTATCGCGAGTAATTGTAGTAACACTCAAGGCCTAAATTACATTAGGTTTTTGGGAGGAGAGGACAAAACAAACTCTTATAGTGTACGTTTGGGAGTTGTTTCCTTAAAGAAAGGCACCCGCCACAATAAATAATTGCCTTTTGTTTGGAAGTTATATCTTTTATAGTTTTGATCTGTTTCACACTTGTGCCCCATTTTTCTCTCTTTATTTCCATGGGGACCACTAAGATATCAAGTCTCAAGTCTCCACCCCAAGTGTGGTGCCACAAGAAATTATTGAGGACCCACGTTGCTTGTTTGGTCATAGACGTGTGTACTAAAATTGTACTAAAATTGGTCATTATGGGCTGCAAAAACTAGTGGATTCTGAGATATGAATTTCATTTTGCATTTCGTATTTTTTAATTTTATTTTTATATTACCGACAAGTAGAATACAGAAAGCCACTATCTAGGCATGTGTCAACTCTAACTTCCTAGTAACAATAAAATTATAAATTGACAAATATAATAAAAAGTTTGACTCTATCAGTGAGCATGGAATTTTTACCCTTTTTTTTTCGAATGGAATTTTTACCGTTGGATCAACCAAATCATGTGACCGTTAGATCAACCTCCACTCATGTAGGTGTGTGAAGATGGAATTTTTACTGTTGGATCAACCAAATCATGTGGCCGTTAGATCAACCTCCACCCATGTGGGTGTGTGCGATCCAACGATAAAAATCCCAACAAGGATAATTTCGAATTTGCCCAAATATCATATGGCTACTTATCCCACTCTTGCATGGAAACAACACAAAAATGAAGTAACATAGGATTGTTGATTAATGAATGTATCGTGACCAATCTGAGCTAAATTTCATCTCATCATTACGTTAGGCGTGCACATGATTATTAATAAGGTTAGTTGTATCACATCCATATTCCATCAAAGCAAACTAACATCACAAAAAGGAAAAGGGAAATTACCTCTTTTTCGTTTTTATCTTTACATCACTTCTTTTGCCTTTTTTTTTTTCCCAACTCTCGCATCTTCTCAAATTCAAGGACACCTAAAAATGGCCAATGCCATTAAGAAAAAAGAGGCAAAAATTTATAGTTGATGATTGTAAGAAAAAGCTTGATGCAAAAACAAGTACCACAATATTTGGTGGAAGGAGGAGTAGTCCATTAGACTTATAAGGTGGGTCTGTTTTCCATATACGAACAATGTGGGACAACTCACAAGTGATATTCTAACAGGGGAAATGGGTGTGTACCAAATGATATTTCCATAACTAGACAAAAGGTGATTTAATATCTCCTGAATTTATCTACAACTACAAAAAATTCCACAATATGAAACATCAAAATCAATAGGGGTCCATTTTTTTTTATTTTATTATTATTATTAAATCAACCACACAATGCATGTAAAAAGCACACAATTCCCATCGGCGTGGGGGCTCACCAGTTTTTGGATCCTTTCTTACATGAGGTCGGGAGTTGCTAACTTATTCATGTAAAACGTTCACAATCATGCAATAAACTAAACTCATCAAATTGCTATTTGACTCGGACCTGTTCTAAAAAAGTCGAGGTATTTCGAATTGTTTGTTGACACGGACAACCTTACCTTTTATTTGGTATAAAAAAAATTATGATGGTGAGTTGAATAATGAAAACAAAGGTAATCAGTTTTTACCTACTTTGGCCCTTTAAGAAAAGCAGTTAATGGTAAATGAAGAGAGATATAAGTTATTTTTTCCTTTTCATTATTTTTCCTCCACCAAATACTTCAGCTCATTAAATAATAAAAAAAAAATGAAATTATTAATCACTATTACATAAAGACTTTATTAACTACTCACATATTATAGGTATCAGTTAGCAATATAGGCTATTCTTATTTCAAATCAACGACCACCATGCTTTTGTGTTCCAGTTTCGAAATGCTAATTCAGACATGCAAACAACACCTAACAACATAAACCCCTTATCCACACACACACACACACACACACACAAAATAATAATAATAATAATAATAATAATAATAATAAATATACCCCTTATCCCCCTAAATGACAGATGTACCCTCAGGCCTCAACTACCACCAGAGGATACCAAAAATATTATAAAGAAAAGAGGGGAAAAAACAGTAAATTGGCAAAAGCATAGGTCAAGGACCATGCTAATAGCCATAGGACATCCTTAGCAATAACACCTAACACGGTTCCATAGTTTGATACACATAAAACAACGGCATTCTAATATAGTATTTACATTAGCGCCCAAATGATTTTTCCACAACATATATTTATTATTATTATTATAATTATTAAAAATAATAATAATGATAATGATAATAATAATAATAATAGCTGAGACAAGATTAAATTAAAAGTGCAGCTGCATGCAACTACAACTTGCAGGAGTTGCGTTCACAAAA